AATTTTTATTCATTTGAAACAATAGATTAATAGTTAATTTCTGATATTTCATTATAAATTTATTAAATAAATAAATATATATGCAATTAAGTAATATTTAAATAAGTGAAAAATATAATTTATATTAAAACCAATTTTTGGCTCAAATTTCATAAAAGAAAACAATAAAATATAGAATACCTTAAGTAAATTAAATATCATTAGCTTAAATTAAATTAATAAATTACTTTAAAAATACTTTTAATTTAATAAAAATCAGATTCTATTAGTTTGAATCAAATCATAAGCCATTGAATGCAAAACATATTCGGTTATCACTGAAAGGCACTTCTTCTCTGTAAGAGTTGTGCAAAATTAGATAAAAATACCTTATTTTTAGCAAAAAACATGTCCTAAATATTGTCAAAAATGTGATTACAAAGGTTACACAGTATATAACCAGTCACTCACAGAATAGCGAAGCTGGGTGTATAGTATCCAAAATCAGTAAGGAATGTTATATTGTTTATTAGTTTTCACCGTATATAAATTATAATAAAATATAATACAAATAAATCTAATTCATATAAATAATGTTCAATTAGTTAAAAACTTAATCAACAATTGAATCGCTGTTAACGTAATCGGTGTTCATTTGTTTGGCTTCCAGTCGGTGACAACGCGGACACACTTTGTTCCGACGATAATAACAATTCCTTGAAAAATGTAAAATAGTTTAAATAACTCTCAAATAATTACCGCTGAATAAGTGATCTTTTCATAGCTTAAGAATGACTCACTTGTGGTAAACGGCTGAACATTTAACGCAATTCGCAATATTTGGTGAAAAAGGAAACAAAAGGTCCTCTTTATCGCGACATAACTCACAAAAGAATCCCTTTCCGCGACATCCCTAACACATACATTAGAGAAACCAATTTAAAGCAAAACTACTGTAAAACAAATGAAATAAAGGAGTAAATGAGACAATACTTCGCAATGATTGATAATATGATCCATAAATAGTTTGTGCGCTTCGGTAACACTTTGCAAGAGTTGCTCCAAATGGCAAAAGTCGGACAATGAGTACGAATTGAGAGCATTTTCATCAAATAAATAATTTTTGAGTGAAATCTTAGGTTTTGTGGGCTGTTTACACAATTGCATATATTTCCACATATGAGACAATTCGATGCGAACTCTCTGTTAATAATGATTTCAATGTAAAACTCGTCAGTTATTGGAGTCTATGTGGGACTATACCTTGATTTGTGCCAATTCGTCGACTAAGCCATAGAGCATTGAATTCAATTCAGTTATATTAAACAAAACGGGTTTCAGTTTTATATAATTAATAATTTGCAGAGAACTCCGACTGACGGCTTTGGGAGTGAAGTCCCAGTTATGGATAATACGGGCGGGAATTACCACTGAATCTGTGTCTCCAAAGTGACAACAATTGCAATAATAGAGTCCATTGTAATCACAAATATGACTATTTCTATAAGTGATGACTGCTTTACACTCCGCGCACCGGAACTCTTGGTTTGAAAGACCAACTTCTGGACAGATCTTTAAGATAACGTTACGCGAGCTATAGATTTGTTTGTAATTAAGAGCACTTTCTTCAAACACAAGTTTCGGACATTTCCTCATTAACTGTCAAAAGAAGTAACGATTATTTGGGATCAAGTGATAACCCGTCGAGACATACATTGGTTTGACAGAAGCGGTGGACAACAAACTGACAGAAGAGGCAAACAACCAAATAGTTGTCACTCTTCTTAAGACCAAATATCTTAGCCTTCGATCGTTTGAGGCATTGATCGCAAACCAGTTGTGATCCACTCTTTGTCTCATTCATTGGCATCAGTTTATGTCCGCAAACATACAACTGCTCGTTGATATCATTCAATTGATTCAATTTGATCCGCAATTCAATTATCTTCTTCACTAATTTCTTCTTCACGTTCTCATCGGTTATATTCCGAAGAATGTTAATGTGTTTCGCAATCGTGGACTCCATCTGAGCCGATGTCGAGATCTGTCATGCAATCCATTAGCAATGCATTCATTGAATACAAGAGGTGTCAACCAAACGGTGACACAAATACCCACCAATTCTTCGGTCTTCTCCTCCTCAGTGTCTCGACTGAAGTGGTCTTCAGTGAGACTCAGTTTGTTATCTGCGGTCTCTTTACCACTCATTTCGCATTCAATTCAATGCATTCATCCATTCATTACAAACACTTCAAGCAATCAATGAATTCAATGCTAATTATGTCACAAAAACTAATTACATATAAAACCAATTCATTTACAATTAAATCAATTATAATCTCAAATCATATCTCATTAAATGAATTCATAATTATATCAAATGATTAATCAGTTCATTGAATGTCTAATAAAATAAATATAAAAACTTTAAATCAATTTCCAATACTTTTGAACACATTTTGTAAACAAATCGCAAATTATTGCAACATTTAATTGAAGGGCACTTCATATATGACGTGACGAGTGACTCATTCAGCGACGACGTGACGAAACAAACACTTCCTTTTCCTTTGAGACTCTGAAACCCATTGAAACACGTTTTGGTTGATTATTGCGGCACTTGTGGTGAATCTGTTCAGACATTCATTGAATACTTTGGTCGAGTGTTGCACTCATCCACACCACAATGCCTCCCAAGTTTGATCCCTCGGAAGTCAAAATTGGTAACACTTTTATTGTCATACTTATAACTCACGTATCAATTCATGTTTTGTATTGCAGTGTATTTGCGAGCCGTCGGCGGNATTGGTAACACTTTTATTGTCATACTTATAACTCACGTATCAATTCATGTTTTGTATTGCAGTGTATTTGCGACACGTCGGCGGCGAAGTGGGCGCCACGTCCTCATTGGCCCCGAAGATCGGGCCCTTAGGGTTGTCGCCCAAGAAAGTGGGCGATGACATCGCAAAGGCCACGCAGGACTGGAAGGGCCTCAAGATCACAGTGCGGCTCACCATTCAGAACCGTCAGGCGGCCATCGATGTGGTGCCGTCGGCCGCGTCCCTCATCATCAAAGCCCTGAAAGAGCCGCCCAGAGATCGCAAGAAAGTAAAGCACGTGAAGCACAGCGGAAATCTCAGCTTCGACGAGATAGTGGCCATCGCGCGCACAATGCGGCCGAGGAGTATGGCCCGCAAACTCGAAGGTTTGTACCACTCATTAGTCACCCATCAGACCAGTCCTCTCATACTTACTGCACTTTAGGCACGATTAAGGAAATCCTGGGCACGGCTTCGTCGGTCGGCTGCACCATCGATGGCTCACATCCGCACGACATCATCGATAAGATAAAGTCCAAAGAGATTGATGTCCCGGACGAGTGACCAATGATTTGTATAACTTTTGAATTGAATGAATAAAAGTATATTTCGGAAAAATTTTGATTTATTAAACTTTTGTGACAAACTTATAATTCGCGTACAATTCTTACGGTAAACAAATAAAATCCGTGAAAAGGAATGTAATGTAAAGACTAAAAGATAAGAAGCACTTAATTATAGATGCAATTGAGTGGGAGTTGCCGTGCGCTGGAAGTGCTGATCGCTGTCTACCAGATACCACTCGAACGACCCCCGGGAGGGTTGTGGACGCGAATCGCTGTCTTTCCCTGTTTGTCGTCATCGATCTGAGCGCCGGACAACTGGAAGGACGAGTCCTGAAGGTTTCGAACTCCACTTCTTGTGGGCGCTCGAAAGAAACCGCCGGAACTGTCGGATTGCGATTGAGTTTCATCTCCAGAAACGTGAGAAGCGATGATAATGGGTTCGGAGGCCACACCGATGGGCAATACCGGAGCCACAGCTGCTTTCGCCACTCCATTAGTTGCCTCATTAGCGACGGCCTTCTTAGGGTCGACGCCACTCCTGTCTACACAAATGGGTCCGATTCTGTCCCTCTCTTTGATGTTATTGTAGACGTGAGCCGCAAATGGAGGACAGGGAACGAATCGTCCGCTTCCTTGGCTCACTCGTAGGCCGTCCTCATCCAAAACCACTCTCCCATTGCTTATGACAACGAGAGGACCGAACGAAACGGACATTCCTTCGAATATATTGAAGTCAACGCTCGAGTGATGTGTTTCCGCTTTAATAACTTTGGGTTTCTTTCCCCAAACGACAACATCGGCGTCGGAACCGACAGCTATTCTGCCCTTTCGTGGATACAGATTGAAGATCTTCGCGGCGTTAGTACTGGTGAGGGCCACGAACTGAGAGGCATCCAGTTTACCGGTGCGGACGCCCTTCTCCCACAAAACCATTAGACGCTCTTCGACTCCATTCACTCCGTTCGGGATTTTCGAGAAGTCTTTAGATCCCAATGCCTTCTGTTCAGCATTAAAGACGCAGTGATCAGAACCTGTGGTCTGCAACTGACCCGAACTCAACAGATCCAGTAAATGCTCGGAAGTGGTTCTATCGGCTCTGAGGGGCGGCGCCATGACATGTGCGGCCGCGTGTCTCCAGCATCTGTTGAAGTGATGGCTGCCATCGGTTCCAATTCCTGCGGCCAAAGCCTCGCCATAAACAATGGAGCCTCTCATCCGTGCGCTCGCGATCACATCGGCTGCCATTTTGCTCATCACATGCACCACATATAGCGGACAATTGACTTCATTGGCCAAAACGATAGCACGATTGGTGGCCTCGGCCTCCACTTCTTCGGGACGACTTTGAAGGTGTCCTTCAGGGCCAGTGATTCCGAGATTAAGTAGACGCTTGGTGTTGGCTTCGATGATATCGCCATTCTCTGCGTGGACCTGAGCCAAGGCGCCGATGTCTCTGCACGTGTCGAACACTTGAATCATTTGCGAGTCGTTTATCATCAATGAGTTCTTGTAAGCCATGAAGCATTTGAATGAATTCACTCCACTCTCCTTCACCAAAGCAGTCATTTCTGCGTCCGTCTGACCGGCTTTCCAGTCGGTGACCGCCACGTGAAGGCTGTAATCACAACAAACCCGTTCATCGGCCCAAACGCGCCATTTCTTGTACGTATCCAAAAGACTGGGATTATTAGCCTCAGGAATGGCGAAATCCATGATAAGAGTGGTACCGCCGGCGAGCGCTGCCTTTGTTCCCGTATAGAAGTCATCGATGGCTCGGGTGCCCATGAATGGAAACTGCATGTGAGTGTGCGGATCAATGCCTCCGGGAATCACATAATGACCCTTCGCGTCAATTGTCTTCACACCCCCGGGAACTGTCAGATGCGGACCAATTTGTCTGCAAATGACAACCAGTTATTGACTTCAAAAAATGTAAGCTTAGTTTTGCCGCTTAAAAGCTTTAACAGTATGTTTGCAACAGTTTTCGACTCAAACTTATTGAAATGAATGTTGAATATGAGATCAATTGAATACCTGATGATTCCCTCTTCAATATAGACATCGGCGTCGAAGATGTGGTCGTCGTTCACAACGCGTCCGCCTTTGATGAGCAGTCGGTTCTGTGAACTCTGTTGTGAAGACAAACAACACTTCGTTAGACATCAGACTATTCCCATGAGTGAAGGCATATGTCATAGAATTTTGATTAACAATAGTGTAAACCATTTATTAGTTTCACTCAATCAATGGTTGCAATGACCAGTCAATAGATTGCTATTCCTTAACAGTAAGTGTAATCAATACAAACTGTAATCAATACAAACTGTTATCAATTTGAAAGCTCTACTCAAATACCCGGTCTTTTAATAACTAACTTAGTTGCAAATAACTACAACATGTAATACAGTTAATTACAATCAAATAGTTAAGTAATATTTAATAGAGTATTAAAAATGCATTTTAACATTTAGGTCAAAATGTCAAACGTTTGCAATTTGCAAATCACTAGCAAATAATTGTTAATTCAGTGATTGATTGCATTTACAAATGATTATAAGTGTATGATTGTAGAGGTATTTTAGGTATAAAAGTATAGAAATATTGTGAAACTAATCAACTGTTTGTATAGGAAATGACAATACTATACAGTAGTGTATGATATGATTAAATTAATTATGCAATTAATAAT